AGTTGTACGACAATGAATGATGCACGTACTCGCCTCTACCATAGCCATAAGAAGCCGCCACAACTGAAGAAACTGCCACCGACTGACGTCAACCTGCAGCTGCATGTGCTCCGAACTCACCTGCAGATACTACTGTGGAAGGCAGCGAACCAACGTGACCCACCTGAAGAAGCTCTACATATTACCAACTTTTACCAAAGAAGTATTGCATGACACTCTAGGGCATCGAGATCACAAATTGTAAATTGACCAAAATCCAAGATGAACGGCGGCGGCCATCTTGAATTCCAAGAAATGCTCAACGATGCACAGGTAGCAACCAAGCTAATTCAGCTCTCCTAACTATATAGAACACATTTCCATGAAAAAAGTTTAGAGTAATTAACATTGCAGGGTCCCATATAGGACATATAGGGCCGGCAAACCGACTATTTTACTTTCTAGGAACTTCACATGGAGGAAAACAGAGTTAAGGACCTGACGTTTCTTACTGGTCTTGATAATCTGGAAGTGTTATTCCTCAGTGGAAATCGTATCGAGGTGAGCATTCAGGGTGATTATGATTGACTGTCTACACTCGTTTGTAGCACAGAGTTTATTTGCTACCAGAAGATTTAGCCATTGTGCACTATGCAGTGTATAGTTTGTACATTCATGGTTGCTGTGTATGCAGACACTTGTGGTTTGTGGATCAAAAATATCATAGTAATTATAAACAACTCTATTCTAGCAACTGGTGGAGGTACAGAAACTCGAGAGCTTATCAAACTTGAGGGAACTCTCAGTCGTGAATAATTCTGTAAGTAGGTAGTAATACATTGATCCCTACTTTAATCGTACTGGTCGGAAATCATATAAATCACCCCATTAAGCAGTGAATACATACTGATGTGGATAATCAGTGTTTTCCAATGACGTCATTTAAGCGATGTGCCCATTTATCAGAGGCCCAATAAAGGAAGGACCACTTTAATATAAGGAGTAAGTGATGTCATTTCGTTTATGATGATTCAATTGGTATCATGTATTCCTGATGCTAGTAAAATAGCATTAGCAATGGCAGTGACAGAAGCAGCAGCATTAGCAGTACAGCAACAGCAACAACAACAAAGCAGTAGCAGTAGCACTGTTCAGCTGCAACAAGCAATTAGTTTTCCTTCGTCTGATATCAGATACAATGCTATTGTAATGATATTTTTTACAAAAATTCTTTGTTGCCCTAATGATTTGCAATACCATGTAAGGCAAATACTACGTCATTGGATGTGAGGTGTGTATATGCCTGGAAGGGAATGTATATAAATCTGTGTTTAAAAGTGAACGTATGTGTAGCCGACAATAAGCGCATATGCTTGTATGGTACGCACGTCGCATACATCGCCACATACATGTGTTTGTGGTGCATAAGAGACGCGGGGTGCTGCCATCGCAGAGTGCTTTCGCCACGTTCATCACCTGAAGTGTGTGTTCGTTTGTGTTCCTGTCCCAAACTAGACTGCGGTGCAGGGATGTTTCGCGCGCGCTTGACGCTCGTGTTATTGGTGTGTAAAATGCCGCTGCTACCATCTGGTGGATGAAAACGTAAACCAGAAGACCAAACATTTCCTTTACGAGACCACGCGTGAACTAGTGGAACATTGATGTTTTACAATATTGTATACTCTTGCCCTCAGGTGTCACGGAAACTTCTACATCGGCCTCTGATCGTCTTCAGACAACCCAACATTGAGATACTCGATGGCATCCCTGTCACTCCTGAAGAAAGAATGAAGGCTGATCTTTACTTCTCTGATCAGCCCGTACGTGTACAGATACATAGAGATTCTCTGTTGTGTGTAACGTTTTTGTGTATGTGTGTGTGTGTGTGTGTGTGTGTGTGTGTGTGTGTGTGTGTGTGTGTGTGTGTGTGTGTGTGTGTGTAAGGGGTGTGCGTGTAGTGTGTGTTTTGTGTGATGGATGAGGTGCATGTGCTCGTATGTGTACGCGTGTGTGTGTGTGTGTGTGTGTGTGTGTGTGTACATTCACGTTTGTGTATATTGAATCCATGGTATCATTATATCTTTATATATATATATATCTACATAACCTGCACAGAAGTCCCAACTTACGAGTATATCTCAAGGCACTAAAATGTTTTCGCTTGCCGTAACTAAATTATGCTCTCAGAAGTCTATTTAATTGGTTGCGTTGGTTGTATTTCTTTACTGTATGCTATTTATGCAGTTAGACTGACCTTTGGTAAATGTGTGCTGGATACATGTTTTCTTTAACAGTTTGTGATATCTGAACCAATTTAAAATTGCTCTGAACCAAATTTGAACCTAATATCTGAACAAAAATTTAACTCTGATATCACCACTTGATGCACGACTGAGTTTAGGTATGTGGTATATTACCTAAACTACTCCCAGTGTAATATGACGAGTGTACGAAAACACTGACAGGGCTTTTACATTTTTCAATTCTTGGCTCTTTAATAATTTAAACATTGTTGATGATATGCCATACATTTCTGATAATATACCAAGAAAGTTGTCACTATCTATATATCTATAATATATGTATATTGAACTACAAATTTGCTAGTCATCCAATTATATCAGAGCTTGAATGAAGGCGCAAGTGACTTCATAAAGGTTTCTCAATTTTCATTACCTAAAATGTATTGTAAATTTACTATAGCTTAATAGTAGTAAAACTGTTTACAGCAAATGCAGCGTCCAAACAGAGAAAATCAGGAGCAGGTATATGTTCCAGACAATATTACTCTACTGCACAATATTACAATTACGTAGAGGAATGTAATTCACTGCATGTGTAGTAGATGCACTTGCGAGCTCTTATAACGATTTGTTAAGTGGGATAAGTGTAATTAAGAAGTTTCAATTATGTTGTGTTGTATGCCCCGAGTTATAATTCCTGCCCACTGTTCCCCAGTTCATGATAAATCATTTATACACACAATGGCAATGTACAGACTGTGTGTTTATTATGCAATTGGTCGTGTTGATGGTACTAATATAATGCGTTTTAAAATTTCCTTTAGCAGATGCAGCAGCAGACTATTATGGGAAGTATGGACAACATGCTGCCAGGCATTGGAACGAGTAAGTTTTGTTATGAAATTAGTTTAATCCTACATGTAGATGGCGCCAGGAGATAGAAAGACTCACACCGTCTGTTTGTTATACATAAGACATGCTGGGTGCATGAACGTGGCTAGAACAAATTTGCTCGGCTGCATGCATTCGTAGTTTTCACATCACTTTGCTTATTGACCAACAATGCAGTAATGCATATACACACAGTGTAGTTGGCCCAAAAATATAGAAGGCTTGAATAATAATTATGTCAATATAAATTTTTATAATGTTAATTTTAAGTTTTTGACAAACTTCTGTATCAGCAGTAAAAAACAGTGTGAGCTTCTTGTGAATTTGCTACCATTGAATCCCGTAGTGATTCAGAACATTGCTAGAGTACATTACAAACTTTCAAGGTAGCCTAGCAGAAAGAAAGCGCAGAGCAAAGTGCATTTATGGTATGGTGGAAATTATTCGAATCGGTGTTAATGTACAATGTCACATTGTAGAGTGGACGTAAAGAACCTATAAATAATAATTATGTATCCCCCCACCACCACTGTATCAACTAACCATTTTCCTATTTAGATGTCAATCAGAAAAGCAATACTTCATAATATGAGTATTGTATTTACTATTATATTATATAATATATAAGCGGTACATGCATGCCGTGCTCTCACGACAGATAAGTGTAAATATTGAACATCATTACTTCTGCGTAGGATCTATATTTTTACTGCCCTATATTTTACAGTGAGAGGTGGCATGCATAATGATATGCCTTCACCTAGACTCACACAACAGCACTCGCAGCTGTTTCAACAGCAGTCCACTGCGAGCAATGGTAGAAATCGTCAGTACCCTGGGGTGAGCATTTTTTGTGTTTAAAGGCTATATGCTATATCGAAAGCAGTGAATGCTATTTGTCTAGTGAAACGAATTGTTTGGGACATATAATAATATATATAATAAGCCTAATGTTATTTAATTATCTAGATCAGTTAACTAGAATCTTATGCATTGATTTCCTTTTAATTAATATTCATCATTATTTTGATCTAAATGTTTACATACTAGAAGAGTGGATGAAAATTAAGCTGGTTGTGACATTGCTAAATAGTGGCATTAAATTTGTTGTCGACGACATCCTGAAATTTCTCCTGTTTAATATATGCATCTGGCCTGGATTTTCTTTTAGGATTTTAAGATATTTTATACTTAATGTGTATGTGGTTAAAATTCTGTTCATTATAGATACTAATTTTGTGATATAATGGGCAGATCAATATACTATGAAAATGAGGTGTCCAGCTTTTTGCAAATGGGTTGCACTATAGAGGATTGAATCACCAGGTATAAAATGCTGTTGCACTATGCAATACTTGTAACATTTTTGTTATATGTTCTGCAGGTATTCAAGAAACAGCATCGGCCATAACACAGCTATATGCTGCCAGTGACTACAGTTCCAGTAAAATGATATTTGCAGAGGGTTTCTGCATTAGTTTCCCATTGTTAGTGAGGTGTATTTATTTGCATTTGTTGTTAAATATTTAAAAGTACACAAATCATGGCGCACTTCCATTAGTCCGTTTATCTGTTGCCACTAACACATGTTGGTATTTGTGTAAATATGTACACTTAAATGGGGTGAAGTAACATGTTTCTATGATACTTAATTAGCAAATATACATAAAAATCATGGAGGCTACTATATAAAAACGAAGTACACTGCCCTTTTATTAAAAACGTAAACGCTTGTATATATTTGTTACAAAATTCAAAAGTTATTATATGTACATGAATGTATATTCTAAATACTTGTTTCTATTTGTAATTCTTTAGAGTCGTCTTTTGTGTTAAACTAATGATATTGTACAGCTTGTTAATGTCAAATGTAAACTGTTGCTTCATTGTTAATAATATGCACTGCGTTTATATTATTTTTGTGTTTGTGTTTAAGCATAGTAAATTTGCATAAACCATGTTTATTGTCTTACTAGAACGCTTTCCATGAATAAGAGTAACGAAGCACAATGTATTTGCTATAGGCGAGTATATGTGTCAAAAGTGCCCAAAGTTCAATGTTTTAATGTGTAATAAATCTGTAGCATTGTAAATGATGTAGATATGTATATATTATGTTAAATGCTACTGTCTTGCATCAGTAAGTAGCATTGATGCTAACCGCTTAAAACGTGTTTTATAATTAGCTGTTAAAATTGTATAATATTACAGTAGGTTCCATACGTACACGCACGCGCGCGCGCGCACGTACACACACGGTATAACTGCTGGTGTTTTCTAGCATTACCGATATGTTGTCGGTGCTAGATTGTGTTTTATAGTGTTATCTAACGTATGCTGACTGATGGGAGGTTTTTTGGGCGGATTAAAGCAAACTCGAATTTGGATTTATTCAAACATTTGAAGAATTTGTTTGCGAACGAAACTGCGCACGCCAGCGAGATACAGAGAGGGGCAGATAGGGCGACAGAGATACACATAGTGAGACATATAAGAGGAGAAAGACAGGTAGACGAAGTGAGCTGGGAGGGAGTGAGAGATGGAGGGAGTAAAAATACACAAGAGTAGAGAAGTGAGAGGAAGAAAGATGGTGAAACGTAAAGAGAGGGAGTGGGAGAGAAAGAGAGGATAAGAATGAGCATGAGAGAGAACGCGAGTGAGAGAGAGTGCGCGTGAAGGAGAGATAAAGAGATTTAGACAGATATAAGAATGCACACCTAAGAATAAACATGCGCACACACATGCACACACAGAAAGGTGAAGGATAAGGGCAGAGAAAAGGAAAAAGGTGACAGAGAGAGAAAAAGATCAGGAAGACAGAGAGAAGAGAGGAGGGTGATGAGAAGGAGACAGAGAGAAGAGAGGAGGGGTGATGGGAAGGAGAGAGAGAGAAGAGAGGAGGGGTGGTGGGAAGGAGAACAGAGAGAAGAGAGGAAGGGTGGTGGGAAGGAGACAGAGAGAAGAGAGGAGGGGTGGTGGGAAGGAGACAGAGAGAAGAGAGGAGGGGTGATGGGAAGGTGACAGAGCAGAGAGAAGAGAGGAGGGGTGATGGGAAGGTAACAGAGCTGAGAGAAGAGAGGAGGGGTGATGGGAAGGAGACAGAGAGAAGAGAGGAGGGGTGGTGGGAAGGAGACAGAGAAGAGAGGAGGGGTGTGGGAAGGAGAACAGAGAGAAGAGAGGAAGGGTGGTGGGAAGGAGACAGAGAGAAGAGAGGAGGGGTGATGGGAAGGAGACAGAGAGAAGAGAGGAGGGGTGGTGGGAAGGAGACAGAGAGAAGAGAGGAGGGGTGATGGGAAGGAGACAGAGAGAAGAGAGGAGGGGGGGGAAGGACACAGAGAGAAGAGAGGAGGGGTGGTGGGAAGGGGACAGAGAGAAGAGATGAGGGGTGATGGGAAGGAGACAGAGAGAAGAGAGGAGGGGTGATG